TCCAGGCTTGGGTGCAGGAGGCTTGGGGCCACCAGGCACAGGCATGGGCTGAGGCGTCTTCTGGCCGTTGAGCTGACGACGGTGGACGAACCTCCTGTGGTTGGCAGCTGCACTCTGGGCGGCCGAGCCATCGACGTTGTAAGTGGGCTTGAAGTCGGTGGTGGCGTTGACAAGGTCGATCTGCAGGTAAGGCGTACCGTAGTTGAGGCGATACACAAACTGCGGCCAGTTGGCAACGTTGCTCAGGCTGTAGCTCGTGTTGTCCGACTCGATAAACGTGTTGCCATCAGCCGAGGCGAGAACGGGCAGTCCCACGCCAAACAGCTCCGAGGTGTTGTCAAGGATCTGCGTCTTGGACGTGTCGGCCTTGTAGCCACCGTAAGCGATGTTGGCAGCGCTGTAGTCCTTGGACTGGGGCTCGAGGTGGATGAAGCCCGAGTAGAAGGGCAGCTTGTCCGTACGCACACCCTCAGGCGGCGTGAAGGTCGCTGTGAACTTGGCAGTGCCCTTGGGCGGCACGACGAGGTTGGTCTTGCTGAACTTGACGCTGGCGTAGTTGGTGCTCAGCGGCACGGGGGCGAGATTGAAGAAGATCGAGTCGTCCTCCTGCGACTGGGCGGTGCCGACAGGGAGGTGCGAGAGCTTGTACGCCAGCGGCTTGTTGCCCAGGTTCTTGACCGTGATGGTCTGCGAGCCGTTGAAGTGTACCGTGTCGTTGAGCTCGATCACCGAGGGGCTGAGCGTGATCTGCTGGTACAGCGCCTTGTTGACGTCGACCAGACCGGTGCCCTGCTTGGCGACGGTCTCGTACAGGTTGCTCGTCGTGTCGTTCATGAGCGGTGCGGCGGTGTTGGAGAAGATGCTGTTGAGCGCATCGGGCGAGAACTTTCCACGCGCGGCCTGGAAGACGGCGATGGAGCCCGACATGAACGGCGTGGCCATCGAGGTACCGGAGAGGATGGCATACGCACCCTTCTTGATCGGGTAGGTCGAGAGGATGTTGCCGCCGGGAGCCGAGGTGGTGGGCGAGTCGAGACGGTTCTCGTAGGTGGGGCCGTAGGTCGAGAAGGAGCTCATGAGGCCACCGGTGGCAGTGTCCTTGATGGTGGCGATCTGCGAGTTGCTAAAGTCAAGCGAGACCTTGACACCGTTGTTGATCTGCTGCTTAAGGTAGAGACCGTCGTCGCGAGTGAGCGAGGCCGCCTGCTGACCGGCAACGTCGGTCTCAACGTAAGTGATCGAGGCCGCCGAGTTGTACACGAGCACGTACTTGCCGCCCTTGGCTGCGATGTTCTGGAACTTTGTGGCGAAGAGACAAGTGCCACGCCCGACCAGAACCACCTTGTTCGACAGATCGGGTGTCGAGTCCGAGAGGGGAGAGCAGGCGTCGTCGGTGACAGTGAGGCTGGACGAAGTCGGGTACACCTCCAGCGTCTTGGACTGGCCATCGGCAAAGGTGAAGGGCGAGCCCTTGAGCACGGTGACGGTCTTGCGGTCGAGGGTGTTGGGGACAATGGCGGCCGAGATACCGGTAAGGTCGGTGTTCTGGACCGAGCCGACGCTCATGACGAGATCACCGCTGGCAGGCGACGAAGCGTAAGCCATACCGTAGGCACCCGAGTTGGACTGAGCAATGGCGAGAGGAGTTCCGAGGCTGGCGATACGCGAGGCGACGGCAGACGAGGGTGCTTCGCTCCAGCCACCAGGGCCACCGAGCGAGAGACTGAGCACGTCGTTTCCGTCAAAGTAGGCACGCTGAAGCGCGGCAATGATGATGTCGTCCGGAGTGCTGCCCGTGCAGCCAAAGACACGGTAGGCGCGGATCTTGGCGTGGGGAGCAACACCAGTGAAGCCGAGGGTGGTGTCGTTGGCAGCGACGGTACCGGCAACGTGGGTGCCGTGGCCGTTGCAGTCGAAGGGGTCGGAGCTAGCAACAGGGGTGTTGGTACCGTTGAAGGCGTCGTCGACAAAGGCGTAGCCGCCAACGACCAGGCAGCCAGCGCCGAAGCAGGGCTTGTTGCCCGGCTTGCCGCCGAGACCAGGGTGGGTGTAGTCGATACCAGTGTCAATGATACCGACGGTCTGACCCTTGCCGAGGAAGCCCTTGGCATGGACTTTGTCGACACCAGTCATGACGTGGGGGGAGAAGGTGTCGGTGTAGCCCTGCTCGGCGTTCTTGGGCTCGTCGCGGCGCTTCTTGCGGCTAGCGGGTCCAGCAGCAGCAGCGCCATCCTTGCCGGTGGCAGCCTTGACGAACTGGTCCGAGACGGTGGTGGGCTCGTAGGCGGGGATCGAGTAGAGCGTGGTGCGGTAGACCTTCTTGACACCCGGGGCGGATGCGAGCGACTGGTAGTCGTCGTCGTTGTCGAGGATGACCGACATGCCGACAAAGGTGGCGGGGTCATTGTACTCGAAGCGGGTCTTGTACGACTTGCCGCGCTTGGCGAGGTGGTCGTGCACCTCGGCATGCGGGTTGTCGCGCTTGCCGCCCTTGGACGACGACGGCTCGAGCTCGACAATGTAGCCGCGCGGCACGTAGTTTGCCTTCTCGAGCTGGGCGACCTTGCCCCTGCTGTTCCTGAGCGTGGCAGGAGCGTTGGGAGCGGTAGCAGGACCGGCGATGGGCTTGGGACCAGCGACGACAGCAGGGTTGTTGGCGGCCTCGACGCCGCTGAGAAGCAGCAGACCGGCACTGGCGGCCGCCGCAGCGAGCGAAAGGAACTTCATATCTCGGCTTGTCTAGTAGCGCGAATTCTATCGGCGCTGTTAATGTAAAGAGAGTGATGCAGACAGAGAGAGTGTGTTACGTGGCCGGAAGCCGCTGCGTATGGGAAGAACGACGGAGGCACACGAGCTGGGGAAAGGGAAGGAATGGAGGGAAGGGAAGTGGACTGGGGAGGGGGAGGGGGGTGCACAACCGAGATGGGGTTAGGG